TCTCTCAAAACACCCCGCAGTCTGTTGAATTGCTGTCCGTTCCTCTTGATCAGTCAACCAGCTGATTCTTCGTACAATAATTAAATCCATGGCATTGGAAAGTAGGCAGCATCCATGAGTGAGTTCGAATCCCATTGAGGATACTGAACTTTTAAAAATTGGAACATAAAATCACTCGGTCACTGTGGCTTTGAATTACGAAACGCCCGTGCTAATCTGACCACTCTGTCATTGCGAAACAGTGTGTGTGTGTGTGTGTGTTGGGTTGGGTGGGTGGATGGATGGGTGAGTGTGGGTGTAACACCAGTAAGCGACAAAACGAATAATTTTCCTATCTACAATTGCAATTGGCAACGTGATACGTTTTTTACCATTTTTGTTTTCTAATACTCTCTCTCCGTCCAGTGGGGGTAACATCGGGGTTACTAAATTCTGTGTCTTATGGGTCTGTGTAATATCAAACTCTGTTCTTGAGTGCTGCAAAGTTTGTCTATCGTTAGCAGATGGTCATGAACGACTATTGACTTCCAGATGTCAGAATCAAAGCTCAAAACTGTCGTGAATAAACACACATAAATTATAGGCTTGAAAACTGTTCGTCTACATTCATCGAACGGTCGAATTGTACGAATCAACTGGAAGAGCACAACAAACTGGAGAGTGGAAAATAAACTTAGATTGTAAGTAATCTGATACCAGATGATTAGGGTAAATATCCACGGAAAATCTGATCAAAGTTCGGTTCCGTGTGTTGGGCATTATAAATAACCTAATCAGACTATGATACGGATAATTAAATAAATGCAATCTTTGGTATACAGAAGATCAAACTCTCCCAAACTCAGCAGTACTTATGTTATAAATCCATAAAACAGTGATGGACGAACAACGGTAAACGTGTCGGTAAATTGGCATCCCACAAGCACACAGGATAATCGGTGGAACCGTCCGACAATGGTAGTGCATTTCTCGTAGTTACCATTCTGAACATCGTAATTTGCTCTAAGAGGTCCCGCTCATTTTCACCCGGTGAGAGAAACAGCCAATCACGTTCCTTTGCGCAATCCAAACATACTGTTCACAACTCTTGGACTGGAAATCCTTCATTTAAAAACATCAATTCTCAAATTACTTCCGTTATTATTTTTGCGACCTTTGAGCACCTTTTCGTCATATTTTTGTGAATTCGTTTAGATAATGTGGCGGATTTTGTTTTGTAACTAGCACTGGACAGCCGTTTCGATCTGGTTGGGTCTCTTTAGCAGGGAGTGAATCCGTCAATCCACCTCAGATGGGTTGTACAGAAAGTAAAATGAAAAGCATTCTGATCAATTTCCTGGTGATCAAGTGCTCGTGGGGTGGGTATCTGCTTACGTTCTACCTGTCAGTCCGCGGTTTAGCGGTCTTCCGTTGAGTCGATGGAGTCGCACTGCTGATGAGACCCAGTAGTTGTACAGTGCTCCCAAGTTTTTCAGTTCACGTGCCATTGCTCTGAACACACAACGCAATCTACTTTACGAATACTATGTCACTAATCAAGTAGAAATTGTTCGGGGCATTAAAAACGTAACGCCTAAGGTTACTAGGGGTCTGTTTCATCTTGACACGGGAACAAATTGAATAAACTCTGAAACCGCCGCAGTTTGACTAAACTATTCAAATTATGCGTCGCGTCGCATGCAAAGGTATGCTGTGAATTCAGTTTGGTCACAATAAGCTGGCTTCTCCGGGTAGTAAAGACTACAACGTAACTGCAAACAAAGTCCGGTAGGCGAAACATGCTACCTTTCGACAAATTAATCAACAGGCCATTACAATTGTATACGGTTATTTAGGTTCGTCTATCTGGTTTTGATCGCATCAAACTAAGTGCAGAAAGTATGCTTAGGTTGTTTGCCTGATATCCGTCTCGACTAGTTCATTGGTGCGTCCCCCGGGGGTAGGGTGGATTTATTCATCCGAGGCCACGGTAAGGCTAAAGCCCGAAGGAACCGCTTTTGGTTGCACAGGGGGGATCCAATGTTTCGATAGCTATCGCCTCGGCTGTGCAAAGAATGATAAACCGAAGGCGTTTGGGCAGAGATGATGGCGTATAGTAAGTGGTACAGAAAGCCTGATCAACATTGATAGTGTGCCGTGTCTCGAGTACATGTTGACTGATAGCACTTTTCGCCATCCTAGCTTCATTTACAACGTGACTATCGACAATTTCTGTTAGTCCCAAAACAGCTAAGGAGCTCAACAAGTGGTAGAAGATAACTGTGTGCACCGCTTGAGCAAATCGTGTCGTGTTATCGCCACATGAAGCCAGTAAGTAGAACTTTGAAATGCACGGCAGAATATTTTACTATTACAAAAGCAATAAGCAATCAGAAGTGAAGTATCAGGCGAAATGGGCCAAGTCCGTGTATAAGCCCTCAACTTTGCATAACATCATCAATGCACAGAAAAGTGTTAAAACAATTCTTCAGTGGCGTTGTTTCACGACAAGAACTATTCAGGGTAAACGTCCTCGATAACGAAATAAATAAATATACCCCCAATTTTATTTCAAGAAGACGGGAAGTGACCTTTGAGGAGTAGTAAGTGACCGTTGCAACTATGAGTACATACCTGTGCTTGAAAGACCGTTCTGCTCGTTACAACGAACGAACTCTGATCCGACCGACCGATACCCATCAACCGTCCCTTAAACTTATTCTCTCTATCGGTAAAGATCTTCAAAATAGCCACCTGGAGATCCTGAGTTCGAACCCTGCAACGCTGACCATCTTCCCAGTTTCTGTATTTTTCCACACAGTCTTTGTATGGCCGCAGCCCCCTTCCTGAAAGGTTGATCAGTAAACAGAAAAAAGAAGTAAAAATCAATAAAAATAAGAAGTACATGCTGTGGTCCCTGTTCTTCTGATGGTTCAAACAAAGTTACAGCCATCATTTGCCATGGATAACTCACAGTCGGCAGTCTTCTGCTTACAATTCCTGAAACTGTCTTTTCTTCGTTGCCATGTTGGTTTTGAACGGCACATTTGAAAGCGAGGCCACCTGGACACTACAAATCGGTCAGCTGCGTGCGCCAATCAGAAGAAACTTCCGTATTCCCTATCATACTTTTGAACTGCCGCTCTTCTGTGTTAACTTAAAAAATTTGGTCATTCAATTCTTTGAAAGGGCAATGGCGGAGCCTGTGTGGAAACAGTGAAACATTTGAAACACTGGGTTCTTGTTATCAATCACATCAAGATTAAAAGAAGACGCATGTAGCGAGATGTTTACATTTCGTTCAATTGCTCAATTGCTGACATAAAACAAACAAACATGCAGGTAGCACATGGCGTTGGTAATCCCTAGTGAATGATCATGAAGATCAACTCCACAGCAAGTGAACTGATTGCGTCAAGAACTTTTGGGCGCACAAAACGTGATGATGTAATCTGATTGAAAACGCTTGACTAATTGCCAACAGTTTTACAAAGTGCAGTTACGTAATAACGGTTCGAAAGAGGAAGCGGGATCAATTATATTTGGTTCAATGGGAATGGTGGAGGATTTGATTCCGTTTTATAGGGAAACCCGTCTTGTATAGAGCGTATAAGCGTGGACTGAAAAGCTGGGAAGCACTGTTCAGATCAGTTTAGTTTGAACAATCGTTAACCATGCATATTTGAGCGCCGGTTTTGGTTACTGTCTTTTGACTGCCCATTTGGATGAAGAATAGGAGAAGAAAGGAAAGTTGAAAGTGGAGTCGAAAAGAAAATGGAGAAGTTCAGTGGACTAAGGTTGCAAAGAAATTGAGGAGA